ATGACCCTAAACATGATGAAATAACCTTTTTAGCCCTTTGAAAATGTGACTGAAAAATAGCTAAAAGTAGGAGCATAGGGAAGGTCACTGAACAGAATCTTTTGAATTTTTCAGAAAATGTGCCCAATATATTGCTCTAAATGATACAATCTTTGAAAATTTGATATCATTCATAGAAAAAGAAAAAAAAAATGAAAAAACTGATTTGAAAAGCGATCTATTTTCCTTTTTATGACCGCCATTTTTGTTTAAGACAATTTTCTAAAATTTCAAAGATTGTATCAGTTAGAGCATTATATTGGGCACATTTTCTGAAAAATTCAAAAGATTCTGTACAGTGACCTTTCCTACGCTCCTACTTTTAGCTTTTTTTCAGTCACACTTTCAAAGGGCTAAAAAGGTTATTTCATCATGTTTAGGGTCATGCTGACCATGCACATTGTGATCCTGGTCATGTAAATGATATGTGGAAATAGTTAAATTGACTGGAGGTCAAACCAGAAGTCTGTTATCTTTGTTCAAAAAATGTCCAAAAATGCAAAAAATTTTGTCACTTCCTGTTTCGTCATTTCCTGTTAACTTCCATGGCACCTTAAAGAATATATGTTGATGGTTTTGAACATCATTTTGATGATTTCAAGATTCAAAATGGAATTGTGTTTCAAACCAAACACTTGGTTTCCTCACAAATTCAATTACAAAATATTTACATTTAATAAATAGTACAGTTATATAGTAACATGGATTGCTTAACAAACGTTTGAATTAAATATTACTATCATACAATCTAGTTTGTCTTCCTTTTTCAAGTTGATGTATTAAATGAGTCAAACAAATTTTGGCATATTAAATGTATTGTTGTTGCACTTTGGTACATGTAAATAGCAACATGCTAGAGAAAAACATACAGTATCATTAAAAAAATAGTATTTAGCTGAAGAGCAATGATAAAACATCGAGTAATCAAATTGTGAATTAACCGTGTATTACATCATAAGATTAGTTCTGTCTTGTCCGTTGAATTCCCCGTGAATAGTTCTTTCACAATTCATATCGTTCGTTTGTTGCAATGTGTTCAGCATTATGCTCCACGTTGCACAGTTATTAAATTATCATAACTGATATATAGCTACTCATTGTTCATATTAGTCAGCATTTTGTAACATTATTGCGAGTATATCATTATTTTAAGCTATCTTTATCCGGTGCGATGTTAAACTCGGTGTTTTATCACAATCGCTGTCTCTCATCAGGATTCAGACTGAAACATAATTTTAGTTATTTAAAATATTTATCTAAGGTTCTTCAGTTATTTGCAAACCTTTTTTTCAAAAATGTTTCCGATTAATTAATGAATGATACAACTCAACTCGTAAACATTTTGTATGATACATTGATCTATATCATTATAGATTTACGACTGTTTTCTCATCTTACTAATCATTATCATGTTCACAAGCTAGACAATCTGCAATACAAAGTTGATACGTGTAATTTATAGAAGCCGAGACAACACAAGTCCCAAGTCTGTATATTTACTCTCATTTCTTCACTTTTAAGAGTTAAGTCACCACATTTTGCATTCACATTCCTTGGAAAAATCCTAACATAGAATTTCATTGGTTGTGATTATAATTTATTTGTAAAATATAGGGAAACATTTGTTTTTAATTGGTCCAAAATCAAAATTTTCCATTTTGTGCAACAAATGCAACATTTCTACGTTATTAATAAAGCTCCAAGTTATAAATGACAGATACAATATGGTGTCTCTAATCTTATTGACAAAAACTATCACTAGTTATTTTTTGCTAGTCATCAGATCGTGCATTGGAAGTGTACCTCAATGAGAAATGCATTCATTGATTGTGGCAAGAAGTGAATTGTCAAAAGAATTTTGGAGTCGCACCATTATTTTACTGCATTTTGGGTGCTTCTTTTCCATTTAAGGTCGTTTTGGTACCAATGTGATGTCATAATATATAATTTGATGTCAGATTTTGGGTACCAAATTGAAGCAGAAATAACGAGCTTTAAGATGATACCAAATATGTCATCATTCAATTGATTAAAATGGTTACTGGAATAAGCTCAAAGGTATGCCACTCCCCTACCCCATCCATTTTCAGGCCATTGAAACATGCCAAAATCTCAAATAATGCAGGCATCTTCATGGGTCGTTTTTGGTCCCGTTTTATTTAAATATCATGTTTCTGCATACCATTTTTCTCGGAAATGTCTCAACTACCTAAAACAGTAACATTTGTGCTGAATAAGAAAACATTTGCTCATATTGGAGTTATTACTCCAAAAGTAGAGACTTTTATTAATTTCGTCAAAATGTTGCATTTGTTACAAAATGGCAAATTTTGGTTATAGACCAATTAAAATTAAATGTTTCCCAATTTTTAACAAATAAATTATAATCAAAACCAATGGAATTCTATGTTAGGTTTTATTCAAGGAATGTGCATGCAAAGTGTGGTGACTTAACTCTTAAAAGTGAAGAAATTAGAGTAAATATACAGACTTGGGACTTGTGTTGTCTCGGCTACTATATTATTTTATTTTAATGAATATTTAGCGAAAGAAGTTGAGAATTGTGTCTATTTATACATTGATATTTATGTAATATGTAATTTTAATATTTAACTAACTAATATTAATTATCAATGTGTTATATTTACCTAATTTCCTGTATGTGACTGTGAATAACTGTCCTGTAGAATCACCAACCAGTAGTTCTCCTACATGGTTAATACGAACAGCAAATGGCCAGATCAAACCATCTTTCTTTGTTAAAAGATAGCTATGAAATCTACCTTCAGGATTAAGTAGTTGTATCCTGTCGTTAAAGGTATCTGCTACTACTACATAGTCCAATATATCTGTGTAGACGCCTTGGGGATAAAACAACTGCTCCTCCCCTGATCCGTGTGTACCGTAAGTGAATACGACATTGCCAGCTCGATCTAACCCTTTTATAGAATGGCCAAAATAGTCGCTCACTACAATCACCCCCTTGCTGTTAGTTGTCACATAACGAGGTCCAACTAATGTACCAGGCTTAGAAATGAGTTTGGAATATCCAGTTGAGGGATCCACACTGAGTATATCCTTTGAGTTATTGCATACAACTAAGTGACCAGTTGATAGTGTTGTAATACCTTGTAGACGAAAATGGACAAACCCTTTAACGATTAGGGTACGTATCGGACTGCCATTTATTGTATAAAAGAAAATCATGCTACTATAGTTAGTAAATGCGAGTTGGTCATCACCAGTGAGTGTAACATACCATAATCTTTTGCCAATATCTTTGATGAGTCTAAATTCACGGTCATATATCTTTGTAGTATTGGCTTTTCCACTCGTTACCACAATATTTCCACTCGATGTGACTGCAAAATCCTTAAAGGCGCTTGACAGAAGCTGTCTCTTTTGAACAAATGGTTTGCATTTTATTGATTTTCCGGCAAAGACTGTAATAACATAAGATAAAAATACTGTTTTAGTTTTTGCATTATTTAATAAATTACAATTGACGAAATGCAATAATGTCAGTCGCAGTAAGGCGTTGTGGACATATTCACAAATAAAGAAAATACAATTTAGGCAAAAGCTTAAATGGAAAATAGGTGTAAGAGAAAAGTTCTAAACGTGATAACAAAAAACTAAATCAATATTAACAATAAAATTATGACGCTGACAAGACAGAGGCGGTAGTAAGTGAGAAAGATCCTTTACAATAATAATCTATAACTTTCCATTCCCTGTTTGATGGTACTATAACCCTACTATCACACCAAACTAGTTCTCACTGCGTTCTCAAAAACGGGCTTCAACTGTGTACGAACGGACTGGACCTACTAAGAACCGTTTGGGATCTATTTACAATCTTCATCGAACGTACTCGAACGGGTAGGTCCTCTAAAACTTAGACAATGCTCAAAATGTTCTCGTGGTCGTCACGTTCTACAATTAGAACGAGTGACAACGTACTAACGACGAGCTGGACGTACTACGAACGGAACCGTCGTACTTCAATCCTACTAGGGACGTTTTAACAACGAGTTGAACTGTCTGCGGACGTGTTGAGAACGAGGTAGAACTAATTGCAAACGGGTTTAAACTGATTAAGAACGTATTTAACACTGCTTATGAACGAGTTAGCAAAAATATAGCTATCACACCAAACAAGTTGCCACTGCGTTCTTCAAAACTGGTTTTAAACTGTGTGCGAACGGAATGAACGTAGCTGCAACTTTCTAAGGTCTATTTACGAACTTTATAAACGTTCTCAGACGGGAATGTGATTTTAGAATTTTGAATCGATTCAAAATTCGACGACGACCATACCGTTCTGCAATCAGGTCATGTTGACCTTCTAGACTAAGGGACGCGTTCTACGACGTTACACTCCGACGTGGTGCGACCTGAACGAACTGCGAACGAGATGGACGTATTGAAGACTGTTTAAGAACGAAGAAGCTAATTATTTCAGACATATTTCCCGACCACAGCCAGATTGAGCCCGTTTGACGACGTTTTCGTAGGACTGGCAAGAACGGGTAAGAACTAGTTTGGTGTGATAGGGGGGTAAGATTTGCATCTGTTATTTACAACTATGTGCTAGAATAGCATTTGTTTTGTAATTCATTTAATCAGAATTCCAGAAGCAATTTGACTATTTGTTGTATCCATAGTAGACTAGTTGACTTGAATTTAACGTGTATTATGTTCTATTCGATGGAAACTTTACGATTGGGGTTGAAATTTTGAGAGTACTGTGTATCTTGGAGAATATTTTCGATGTACTTGACTGTATAGATTTTTGATAGGACTGACTCGTACTAATCTTTTAATTGTAGTGCTTCGTTATCCGTTTTAATACCTGAATTGTCGGCTTCCAAGTAAGACTTCAAGGTTGACACAGCATGTGAAAGTGTAGATACAGCTTTAACCAGGGAAAATACATCCGTTTTCAAAGAAGAGACATCTGTTGTCAGGAAAGAGACATCCGTTTTCAAAGAAGAGACATCCGTTGTCAGGGAAGAGACATATCTTTTTAGAGAAGATACATCCGTTTTCAAAGAAGAGACATCTGCTGTCAGGGAAGAGACATCCGTTTTCAATGAAGAGACATCCGTTGTCAGGAAAGAGACGTCTGTTGTCAGAGAAAACACATTCGTTTTCGTGGTAGATACATCCGTTTTCAAAGAAGACACATCTGTTGTTAATGTAGATATATCAGTCGAGAGGGAAGACACGACGTTTGCCTGAGTAGAAGCAATATTCGTTAGCGTTGAAATAGCAGTTTCCAAGGCAGATACTTCGTCTTTGATGGCATCTTTCAATTCCCACACGTCTTTCCTAAGGCATACCTTCTTTTTTTGAGCACATATTACTGGAAAATATTTATTCAATTAAGTCACTTATTAATCAGAGAAGGCTCAAAGGGGATATTTGACACCCCGGAAGATCCTTTTCAGGTATAGGATGGTCAAAATACAAGAACCCTATATTTTCTTCCTATCATTGTTATTTTATAAAATGACGGCATAATATTTAAAGAGATCCAGTCGTCCAGATTTCTATTCTGGATTATCAGCAATGTCCCAATATAATTGCTCATAAAACATCATATACCTTAGATATATCTTGAGACCAAATCATAAGCACGATATCGACAATATATTGAGGATATCAACAGGACAACAACCAACTGTCAGAATTGAACACAATAAGTCGAAAACAATATACAATGTTATTGGCGATTTGTCTATATTTTAATCCCTTAGAACTAAAAAATGGCTTCTCTGAGCCAAAACAATCTGTTGAAACTGAAGGAAAAAGTCAATCAGACTGGAACAAATTTGAGCGGGCTTTTAAAATTTGAATTTGAATTTTTACTGATGAAAGTGGAAATTCATGGCTACATGTAGGCTACAATCATCGAATTGATACTGTCAACGAATTAATTCAAGCCTCAGAATTGGTAAGTTGATAAACAAACTTGTTTTACATCAAATAACACGAAAAAACAGGGGGTTACTCTTATTGTGTTTTTAGGAGACCCGATCTCTTTAACATACAATTGTACATTCCCATCCTACCTTGCTTCCTTTCTTCAAACTGACCAAACCTTTTTTTAATTATCTACAAGTTGCCTTGAGTTCATAAATGACCTTTGAGACATGACCGTTGACTGACCTTCAAATTATAAAAAAATGCCTAAGGGGCCTCCGTAAGATTTGTTTGCAATCTTAATGTCTTGTTATAAGTTGTTGTTTTTATTGTAAGTTTTGCAACTAAAATTCAAACACAAAGGGGCTTTAATATATAGCCAAATGGGGAGCCAAGGCTGCCAAACTTTTAGAGGGATGTGAACGACTACTGTTTGCACAATTGAACGTTCTGTCTAAACAAGTCAGTGCAAGAAGAAATCACCAAAAAGTAAGTTACTCCAAAAATATAGCGTTTTGTGAAGACCAATGGAAGTTCAAAATAAGTTAAGCCACGGATTCTCTTTATATTTTGTAACTTAATCTGTACCTCCACTAAAATGAAAGAAGACACAATAGAAACGAAATTGAATATTGACAGTGAAGTATCATAATTCAACATGTGGTGTGAAATAAGAAACAAAAATATTTCAAAATACGTTCATGTATTAAATTAATCGAAAACGCGATACAGAAAAGACACAATGCATTGATATTGTAGCAAACATACTAAGGAAGATTTCCACTTACCGTAAACATTGATAATTTCCAATGTTGTTAAGAACAATACCTTCATGTCTGGTTGTGTTGTGTTGAATATTCACTACTGTATCGATACATGACCGTGCATCCATGTCTATTCATTTTATTGTATGTGTTCTGCTTACATGATATTTGTTCAGGGGGTGATTTCTAGAATCATAAAATATTGAATTTGTAGCATTGCTATTGGTTGATTCTGGGACGCACCTTTATTGTGAGCCCTGGATCAATGCGTTTTGTTTCCCTACTTCAGATTGTATAACATTGCTGCACGGTCCGCAACATATCTATGCGTCATGAATAATAAATATCTATCATTAGCCAATCATAGTGAAGTCAGATGCTTATCTGAAAAAAATGTTAATTAGAGATTTTCCAGTCGATACCTTAATTCCATCATCGTGCAAAATATATACTAAATTGATAGTTCTAAAGCAGAAATTATTGCAGTTATTCCACGTGCCCCGCCTTGGCGTTACCCACGTTGCTATGACAACCACAGGATTGGCCAATCGAATCGCTTATAGCTGAAACTCTATTAAATCTAGTAAAGCTATTATGTTAGAGCAATGAAATATAATTCCTGCAAAATTGAAATCATATTGAATATTTATATTTAGAAATAATTGAATACAGTTTCACACAATTTATTGACTTTTTTAAATGCATTGTCATTCATTAATGAACACTACATGCACATTTTTTCATCGTTTGAATTTCCATTATGATTAGAAAATTATGAACATTCTTTCTAGGTCTAAAATTACATCAAATAGAAATATCTAGTTGATCAATTAAAACCTCTTTAACACTTTGTAATTTCTGATTTATCTGAGCTCTTGAGTTATCAGACGGTAATGGAATATTCAAACATGGCGCATTTAAAATTTAGGTTCTCTAGAATTTGTGACACACAAACACATGACGATGACCTAAATTACCGGGGATTAGAACACAAGAAAATCACCAAAAGGCAAGTGCAAGGAACTTTATTTTTATCCTGACTTGAAATATCAAAGGATCAGCTTTGATTGACTTCATTGACTCCTGCAACATTTACATACCCTCTGTAAAGAAAAAAGGTGCATTGTCCTTCACCAATCATATCTTTTTTATTTTTCGTTATTATTATACCAACTTTTCAGAGGTATAATGTATAAATATTTTCACCAATTGGAGAAAATTTCAAAGAATTTCGCAAATATGGTAAGAAGTTAGAAAGTATCGAATATAACAACTCCTAAAATCGTGAGTGTGACTTTTTTACCATAAATTGACGTGAAGTTAAGTTGTCAGTTACATTTAGATGAATATACCATTTTAAAAAGTCTTCAATCCAATAAAACTTTTGTGAAAAATATCAGTTAAGGTAACATATATTACAAAAAAAATTAAATTGTGAGATAATTATAACCCCTATTAATCTTTCTCAATGACCCGTAAATATGTTATACATCCTATACTTAGCTAATGCATACCAAAATGATGTCAGCTGTGAAGTATGAATGTGTTTATTGAGCAAAATAGTTACACCCTATCCCTAATTTCACTGCTATTCAAAGCGTTTAATTGTCTAAAAATCATGTTTTAGAAGGGTTTTGGCACTTCCATAACTTTCTGTCAGTGTGTCAATGTTTATTTCAAACCTATCAGTTATGACCAGTTTGGGACGGGCTTTACAATGGTATGAAGAATATAACACATAGAGTATGATGTCCTAGGCTTATAGGAAACTGTATAATAGGAAAATGTATTTTATGACGTAATTTCAAGGAAAAAGTCACATTGGTGAGTTTGTGGGAGAATGTTTTTAACCATTGCTAACTTTTTAAAAAATTTCATCTAATTTTTAAAATTTCCACTAGGTGTTAACAATATGTACGCCATGTGCCTCCAAGAGTTTATATCATACAAAATTTTGAAAATGTTATGACTGATAAAGGACAATGCACCTTTTCTTCTTTACAGAGGTTATATAATAGTATAATAACGTCATTTCGAAGGGCAATATAGTGAAATAGTGGACCGAAGGCCCAAGGTCCAATTTTTCACTATATTGCCCGCAGAAATGACATCATTAGTATTATTACCACCGTTAATGACCAGGACTGAAACAGCAAGAAAATCTTACGCACTGAACGATATCTAAGTTCCCGGGGAAAATTGCCGGCCAAGAATTGCATTCTCGACCGGCAGTATTGACTGCCACTATGACGTCACACCTATGCTCAGGTCGATATAGTAAAACGAATGCCTTCTCAACTAGCACTAAAACCCCTAGAACTGGCCCGGCAAGGTGGTAATAATTATATATATCATATATATATCATCTTAATAATTTAACAAATACTGGAATGTTATCTGCCTGGTACAAACACTGGAAACAAGGGAGTTTATTTTTAATTGCGACTTGTAATATTTGTATAACTATAATAGCAAGAGTTCAGTTTTGTCGTCATTATTCAATGATGTATATTTTATGTGCTACAATATCAACTGTTTCAATAAATAAAAATAAATTAATCTATTAATTGACTCCTATTAACATGCCTGGTATTAAAACTTCGTGACTCTTCCTTATTAGGTACATCTAATAATAGACCATTAGTTACGTACCTAATATTAATTATTATAGTGAGAGTTTGACACACGCTGAAATTTGTGCAATATGTTTATATTTACACATATTATCAAACTGAATAAACTGTATTTAAAATTTTCTATGATAATTATCAGATTATCTTAATTCATTTTAGAAGGGTTGGCGGTTTTCAATTTGCGATGGGAGCGAGTTTGAAAGAAATACGCTGCAATACGTGTTCATCTTCGCACATTCATTCTTAAGACCGAACAAAGCCGAGTGAATGAAAATGTCACTTGCTCTCATCGGGTATATTAAACTGTAAGGATAACGAACAATGGCTGGTCAGTTCGGTTCAGATGGAACAGGTTTTCTTGCAATTCCTATGCGTAACAAATAATACTGGTGTTTTAATAACTGGAATTTTAATGTGCAACCGCTTGTACCTTTGTAAACTTACAAATATTATGTACCCCATTGAAGGATTAGTTGTGAATGTAACTGAAAAGTTGATAATGTGATCTGAGTATAATACTGGTGTTTTAATACCTGAAATTTTAATGTGCAACCACTGGTACCTTTGTAAACTTACAAATATTTTCTACCCCATTGAATAAGGATCATCCTTTTCATACTGGACTATGACGAACACAAATAAATGTGATTCAACTAGCTTAGCGTTACGTGTAACACTTTAATATAAATTATTTTTACAACTGTACTATTACAACAACATGAAGTACAAAGTATTAAGTTGGATAAATTAAATTTGGAACGAAGGAAACCATGGTTTGATAATAAACAGAGAGAATAGCAGCACTGGGTTTGATCCAATGCTACATCTCACTCTCTAATTAGTCTCCAGAATGAGTAAACACTCCAGCATTTATAGCATATTGAATGACTTTTATAGGTACATCTTTAATAGTAATATGTAATTATGATAATGGCTCATAAATTAGATAAAAGAGATTTGACCCGGAGGCTATATGAATCGCTGTCAGATCATCGAAGGTCGTGGCGGAAGTTCGAAGCATACCGAGAGTGCGTATGCGTTCTGTATTTGCATCACGTAACGTCAATAAATCATAATATCCAAATCATGAATGAATGCAAATGAGAATGTTCAAAATCGTACATACATTTACTACGTTTCAATTCAATTTATGTTCATTTCATTGCGTGATAAATGCTATAGACATTGTCTGCATATATGTCACAATAAACGTTAGAATATACTTTTGAATATAATATATTACTCAAAGAATAATGAGTTTTGGGCAAACGTCCCAAACATAAGCACCTGTACATATAATCATGTTTTGTGATTTTACAGCACTCCCATTAAAAACTGGTGATATATATCAAATGGCTGTTCCTGATTGGCTTAAACTTAGATCACGTGACATACGATGATAACACCAGCATTGAATCAAAAGCCCAACAATAGTGCATTGTCTCTAAAATATATATCCCCGGGCTAAATGCAATAAAATGTTGACCAATTGATAGTCCCGAGTCACATGGAGATGCCAGTTTAAGCCAATTATAATTATGCATAGAATGATACCATTCTTCGAGCTTTCATTTTCACTAGATTCAAGAAACGCTTGCTGTGGAAGGACCACAAAAATATAAACGATTTAACAGAAAGGAATCACAAAGACTCAAATATGCATTTGATATTTAATTGTTTTGTTATATTAGCTTTCATTAGGATTAATTGCATTTCTTCAGAGCCAGTAGCAGGTAAGTTATTGAGAAATAATGTTTTCAGGGTGTGATATTTTTTTCAGTAATTAACAAAACTTTCTCAATTAGCACGTATTTTAATTAGCGTATACTTAATATATTTTCTTTTTATCATTTGACAATTTATTTTAACTTTTAGTGTAAGTCGAATTAGAGGCAAATTATTCATGCCACTTAAAGCTTAACCAAGCTTATAAAATATCATCAAAATTGCAAATTCTGGCATTGTTAGATAAAAGTTATCAAAATTCTAGCACGAAATTATTAAAATTCAGCATCCCAATTCGTGTTCAATAATAACCTCCTATGTAATTAATTCATGTCTCATTTACATTCATAATTTATGGGGTGCTAGATATTTACAATTAATTGTGAAATATAGGAAGAAAATTAATGATCATATCAATGATCACACAATAAAATCTTTATCAATCTAGGAGCGATTCTTTTGAGTCGAAAATTGAATATTAGAAATAATAACATATAAAAGTATATCATATAAAGTTGTGTGTATACATATCGCTATTTAACGTATCGTAAAAGTGACATTTGCCCTTGACATTTAAGAATCTAAGTCCTGAACTCAATGCATTGTGGCTGATTATCATTCCTAATGGCCTAGTCACATAGCCCGGCCGATGAGGTTCCGATGAGCCAGCGATGCAATTTTCACCGAACTCGGCCGAACACCGGCCGGACACCGGCCGGACATCCGTGGCGTTTGTTGCTTAAAACCGCATCGGTGGCAGCTCGGTGAAATTTTAACTTCGGAGTTAAATTTCACCGGGCTCTCACCGAGCTCCCTCATCGCAGCCCCATCGTAACCACATCAGAACACACGTCGGCCGGTGCACGGCCGAGTATCGGTCGGTGTCCCGTGCATCCGAGACAACCAGAGGACGAGGTTTTTTTAACGGACACCGGCCGAGCTCCGACCGAGCTCCGGCCGATGTGGGACAGAGCCTTGGAAAGTATAGTACCTGAAGATGTCCGGACGGAGTCCGTTCACGTCACCGAGCTCTGCTTCCGATGAGGAGAGCTCGGTGGCACCAAAAAAATCCACCGAGCTCTACCGATGCCGGACATCGGCCGGGCTATGTGACTAGGCCATAAAGGGTGGCGATTCAAACTTTGCAAGAGATGCGTAGTTTAGTTTAGGAAACAACGCCTGAAAGGAATAAATCAGCAAAAATGCATCGAGCTTTGGGCTTGAATTATTTTCACACATTGCAAAACATTTCATATAAAATCACTAAAAGACTCGAACTCACTGGGAAGATTATATTTTTAATAAAACTTATACAACTTACAAGGGTCTAGTTGTAAAGTTGTCACCTTGACAACCATTCAAAATTTAACATTTGACCTGCATAAGCACTAGGCTTGTTATTCGCTATGATAATGTTTATAAATTTCTACTCAACTATGAAATTGATCAGCTTATCGGTTTCATTAGTTTCACTAGAATCTAAATATGACCTTGGATGCACATTAGAGAAGCATAATGCAATGCAGCTATATGGAATGGCATGTTCTAATTGTTCGATTTGGACACACCTTGTCTAGTTATGTGTGAAAACATTTTAACGTACTTAAGTATCACAACTTTCCTTCCAGATTGCTTGCAAAATGAGATAGGGACTCGATACATTGGTGACAATGCAAATCAATGTGTGTACTATGTATGTACGAATGGGTTTTCTGACTATGCACCCTGGCCATGCGCCCCTGGATCTGGTGTCCCCTGGGGTTTCAATGATATTAGCAATCCCTGCATTTTACGCACTCGTTTCTGCAATGGATTAGTAGGCGGTGGCGGAATGTTACCCCCTGCTCCTGTGCCAAGGCCCGTTCCTGCACCAGTACCTACCCCAGCCCCATGTAAGTTCCTAGCTATACAAATACTATATACGGTAACATTCCTGTTAATCTGGGAGTTCATGGTAATACAGATATTACATAAGTTAAAGTTCATTTCCAGCTATAAGTTCATGGTAACACTTGTAGAAATTTTACATACGATAATATTCATATTAAACTGTGAGTTCATAGTAATACAAATATTACATAAGGTAACGTTCATTTTCAGCTTTAAGTTCATAATAATACAAATATAACATTAGGTAACATTTATTTTCATATGTAAGTTCATGGTAATATAAATGCTACATACGATAATATACATATTAAACTGTGGTAATACAAAAGTTACAAAGGGTAACACCCATATCACAATATTACTTCATGGTTTCATATATTACACACGTTAACATCAATTTTAACGAGTGCAGTTAGCTGATAATATACCTGCTAATATGTTTTTTTGTTTGTTTATGTTACAAGTTCGGTTTCACATTGTTTGGAGACTCATACTAAAACATCACTACGTTTTAAATATTATGCAATCATATAATTTTAACGATTAATAAAACAATGATATATTATCTACTTAATAAGATAGCTCTTGGCATATTAATACTTGTCGCAAGCTGTGTTGCACAAATAGGGGCATTATATGCTCGGCATCTACCATCGAATGATACATCAGCAATTGACCTGCTTGCAGGCCGACATCACCCGACATCATATTTTATATGTGAATATGTTGCTCCAATTTTTGTATTTGTGCATTTCCCAATACTCTGCATATGCATTGGTTTATAGGAATCATATTCTTAAACAATTTCTTCAGGTTGGATGATTAAATAACACAAATATTTTCTTCTTTTTACAACCTTTATTTTAACTTTACAGGACATTTCTCGGATGACATCTGGATTCCCTTTCAACTGTTATAAAAAATGGAACAAAGCACTTCTGTTCAGTTTTTATAACAGTTGAAAAAGAATCCATATGTGATCCGAAACGTCCTGTAACGTTAAAATAAAGGTTGTGAAAAGAAGAAATTATTTCTGTGGATCATCATAGTGTTACGCCAAACAATAATAACGGAACAACTTTATATATAGGTTGTGGAATGAACTAGAATCCGAATGCATTATATTCATTAAATACATTGTATATCTGGTAATATCAGGATTTGATAAGGTTGTATCATTATAATATAAATAATACTTGATTATCTATTATAAGCGCCAACCCAGCGTGGTATAAAACACTCTAACCTGGTGGAAGTTTGAATATATGCATCAATTAAATATGTGTTTATGTGTCAATTCTATTTCAGCGCCAACTATCCGAGTACCAGTCCCGGTCCCAGTACCCGTACCCGTTCCACAGCCCGTACCCGTACCCGTACCTGTTCCCGTACCAGCCCCAACACCTTCAGTTCCTATAATACCAGATACAGGTGATTAGTTACATATTTGCACAGTTTTTCTAGAAGTGATGCAATGAGGTTATATGCTATCACGTTGACCTTGCTTCCCAAGCCTAAAGGACACCAATGTCATTGTAAACTTTATTGTAAATAAAACAATATCTTATTGAAAATATATGTAGGAATACGAGGGAATATATGTAGGAATAGTATTGATAAAAGTACCGATTCTTCAACAAAATAAGTTCAAGTCTTCCATATCTAATATTATTTCTTGGATTCATAAGGTATTTTGAGTGAGGTGTCATATTTCTGTGAAGGGATCATACTAGGATTTTTGGGACTTTATTTTTGTTATAATTACCCATATCATAAAATGATTACACCTTACATTTTAGGATGTCCTCAACCATTCTTGAAGATCCCGAACACCAATATATTCGGTGGACAAGAACAGCCTTCCAATATCGATACTGCTAATCTTTGTAAATATCAATGTCTGTTTATAATGCCCACATGTACTGCTGCCGACTTTGATACAAGGATAAAAAGGTACGTTTCATATACAGATAGGGGGCCATTTAGGATAAATTGCCTACTTCAATGGATTCCTTTTTTCGTTCACCTTGTATCAAAATTTGTGAAGTGAATCCATCTTGAGTAGATTGAATCTCAAACACAATACTTTTTTATTTATTTTTGTAATATTTTTTATCTATCCATAGGTGCTACCTACATTTTTCTACATCCGGGACTGCCAATCCCAACATGTTCGGGATTGATCATTATGCCAAGACTGTTTGTACACAACCCACAACTCCAATACCTGCTACAACTGTAGCACCCCAGCCAACGCAGGGTGCAACCACTGGGGCGCCTACCCAACCTGCTCCAACTACTGCTGTACCAGCCCCTGTTACGCAAGCTCCGCCTTCTGGTGGACTCCCCTCGGGTGAGGTTTCACATTTTTCAAGTACTAGTATTTGGGCTGCGTATTTCAATATTTTATACAGCCTCTCATTGTGTTTATCATGTTCATAAAGAAACATCGTTAGCACATTTATACGCTCAAATATATTCTAAACCAATGTACTAACAATGTCGTAAAATACAATAAATAAGACAGTTATCACTAGAGAACCCCCTTTCCATACATACACAAGATCGCGGTAGAAGAATTGTGGTGGGGGGTTGATATGAATCAATGCAATGCTATAATTCAAGTATATTTCAGGTTATGTGTCGATGAGTGTCGGGTTTCATATTCAAGGTGGAACACTAGCCAATCCGAATACCTCGGTGACAGCAGAGCAGTGCCTTCAGGCCTGCCACAGTATTAACATATGCCTCGGTGTCGATTACAATAGTGCTGATGGCACATGTTGGTTCCATAATGCCCTCACGGCATGTAACCCACTAATACCAAAAGCAAACTGCATCCATTATAAACGAGTATCGTGTTGTAAGTATCTTAGTCTGTATTTTGGAAATATTTATTAGTCGTATGTTGGTTAATCTAATCGTTCTATATGGATGAAGTCATTGATATGGTTTGCTCTTTCTCTCGTTCTAGTTGTTACAGTTTTGTTCCGTGAGCTCGCATATGATTCTATCATTTTAAAAGTTTAACACATGTGACCGTTATCTCATCAAGTAGAAAGGGTCTTGGCTCCAAATGATTTTTCATTATTTGTCATTTTTCAATTTATTATACCATATGTTGTGACCAATGTGGAAATGAGGGATTTTAGGGATTCAATAGGTTAAAACGTCACATAATTTAACTATTCAAGTTTAGAAAATACAATTACAAATGAAAATTTCAGTGATCCCCATGTCAATTATTCAAATCAACCCTGGATTCCACATCAATGGGGGAACAGAAGTGTGCAGAGGATGTACCCTGGATGCCTGTCTTCAAGATTGTAACCTTGACCCCTTGTGTCAAGGTGTGGATTATAATGCGAACTCCAACGCACGGGCATGCTACAAACATTTCAACCAGACAGTATGTAACCAGCTCATTATGAAACAGGACTGCACGCATTACAAGAAGCAAACGTGTACGGGAACAGGAGCACCAGTTATGCGTAAGTCCTTTTTCAGGATGCAATCTGAACAAGTACAGCAAAAGTGAAATACTTCTTCACTATTAAACCAATTTTCAAACCACCTTTCAACATTTGTGATCCATCATAAAGTTTTGTAAGATTTCTGCGATGGTCAGAAATGATACTGTAATCTTTCGGTCAAAAGAAGAGCTCTGTCAGATCTCAGGTTAAAAGACAGTATAGCATAATGTACCCGATTAAAGTATATTATACATTATATAGATGTTATTATATTATTAGTATATAACGCCCACACTAATGATATGCCTTGCCTATTCCTTAGCTACCCCAGGGCTTCCCCCAGGCACCAGGGCTGCGCCAATGGGAACGTTCACAGTCATTCAGTTCCCTGGACCAAATAGTGAGTTATAATTTAATGCACTCTTATAAATATAAATAAATAAAGTCAACCAATGGAAACTACAATGGCCGGTGATCTCTATTCTCTGTTACAAGTGGGATAAAAAAGGCCATCAGAACAAAGAGTGTTGAGGGGCACATGTTAACCATTATGACGTTTTCCTCCAGCAATACCGACTAACTCGCTGGCCTACCCAGGCTCGCAGATTCTAGGAGGTGCCTATAGATTTGATGGGATGACCGGACAAGAGTGTATCGATGCCTGTTTCAATGACCCTCAGTGCTTAGGGACTGACTTCAACTCTGGAGACGGAACATGTTGGATCCATGATTCAACCACTATATGTAACGCCCTTATTCAGGCCAACAATGTTTACCATATTAAAAGAACGCAATGTCGTAAGTACACATTGACACAGTTAAATAGTATTAGTCATTTCTCATTTAATTTATGCTAAAAACGGGTAGCACTTACATCATACAAAAATACTATTAAACAATTTTTTTTATCTCAGTCAGATGTAAAAAAAATGGCAGTAGTGGTATTAGTTCTATGCTTTTCAATGTCATTTATACTTTTTTGAAAGATTTGATGAATAGCTATCCTTTAATGTAGTTATAAGTGCAACAATTAATTTTAAAAATATCCTAAATGACGTACCAAACTAGATGTCATCAAACAGTTTTTGATGGTTTGTCGATTTGCATTTTTATTTTTCAGCGGCGCCGTACCCCGCACCAACACCTTAATATTACTTCCATGGAAGTGACAAACACTCACATCAATCTTAATGAACCTACATGGATAGGTGTATTTACTGCAGAGATAAACTGTAAATCAATTCCTATCGGGACAGTGTATAGGAAATATAAATATTATCAAAAACCACAATTTCCGAATATTTGTGTTATAAAAGATCCTGGAAATGAGTCAACTTCTTACCGAATGAGCTATATATATATATATATTGTATTATCTAGGATAAACTAAGCTCGTTCTAAGCGATCGAATTGGATAAACCAAAATGTGACAAACATGTATCTTTAAATGGCTTAGTCGTATGATAGAACTGAAATAAAATATTGAAACGAAATTACGATCGTATCATTTCGATTTGATACACATTATCCCCCCTACAAACTCGAAACGATGTATCAACAATTACTTCAAAGGACTAGGTTAACTTTCACAAAGTTATTATAATTGTTGTAAATATATGTCAAAGAAACATCTGAAAAGTGCAATCAGACATATGAGTTTCGTGTGATATTAAATGTGTAGATATCATTAAACTCTTAGAAAACGTAATTGTACCATATACATATGAATAATAATACAATGAATACGGTATAAAGGAAATAGAGAAATAAGGACCACATATAAGTATATTACAATAAACAGTTATATATTCTCAGCTTGTATTCGCTTGAATGCAACTCTCAGTTGTCGGCTATCGCACTACTATTTAAACATGAATAGTACATGCCACTATTCTTTCATTAAGCCGGTAGCTGATTGCCGAAAGTTGCAGTCGCGAATACAATCTCAGTAGTTTGTTGCATTTGTATTTCTGACTTTATTTTTTATTGATGTTCTTTTTTCCCTATGAGGAAGCTATGCTACACATTTTAAGAGAACTTGTACGTATTCATGTAATGCTATGATTCCAGGCATTACTGTCCCTGTGTTTGAGATGGACATACTACATTTTTTCTTTATACCGATTTACACAAATTGTTGAGTTAATATTATGACTAGGACACATATTCCTAGATAGCCACCTTAGATACACATGTTCACGTACAGGTTCTCTTTTAAACGTACATTTTAAAACCTCTTAAGTGTCACACAAGGATGTAAATTCGCAAAGTTAGACATTTACATATAAACATTTCAACGCTACCTTAAAGGTGCAACAATAAGTGCAGGGGGGGGGGGGCATTCAACTATCATCGGCCAGTGTCAAAATATATTTAAGTTTGGATATTTCATCAAGACTAACATATATTCAAAGAACCCCCTGGATGAACATTATTTCAGCTGATATTCTGCTTGAAACGTGATGAATCTTAAAAATCTATAAGTGGGACTCCCTTTGCAGAAGCTTTGAATTGAATCTACACTTCTTAATGCTGAAATTGGTGCTGAATTTGAGGGTTTATCCATACATTTTTTTGGGGTACGTCAAAGAAGATGTAACGCCAAATATTGACCCTTTAACAATTATCTGTTATCATGTCAGTTTCAAAATATCTTAAATAGAGCACTTTTATTTTTTATTACTTAATAATGTGACAAACCGGAAATATGGACACATTCTCAATATACATATAGCATTCCGTATTCATTTCTTATCATTAAGTTATTATAAGCATGTATATATTGCCGTTTAATATAATGTACTATTTATTTTACTCTTACGGTTATCTTATTATACAATATCTGGGTCAGGACAGTGACGCTTGTTCTACGAGCAGACATTTTGCATCTTGCATTTTGCAGACATTGTGCATAAAAAGTCTTGATATTTAAATAAGCAGGCTTAAATGAAATAGAGAAACTTTGTAAAAGGGATAATGTTTTATTATTTGAAAATTAACAAATATGTAATTATTAATATTCTTGTTTTCTCCTTCATCCTGTTATCATATTTGCTATATTGCTGTACATTAAGCTTGAACTATCGTTAAATAAATTTGAAAAACATTTAAATCTGAATTGTGTTTAGTTTCTACATGTGCAATGAAAAATATTTTTCCCATATCTGAAGCTATACCATTGGAATTAGAGGGTACCTTGTACTTAAAATTGAAGGGTTTAAATTGACATCAACTGGAATTCTAAGGCAAATTAATTTTCTGTTTGAAAATGATTTACTAAGAAGATTGCCTTGTTACTTGGCTTTTTATATTTTTTTCCATTTAACGATATAAACACGCAGAAGGTTATTAATTAGTATCGGAAACATATGTTTTAAAGTAAAATTATTCAATGCTTTATTTCTGGCCAATTTCACTCAGGTGAGACGATATCAAATTTGCCAATAAAATGCGTGTATGACTGCGTGTATGTGTTTCAAAGGCGTGAAAATTATAAAAATAGAGAGTTTAAAGGCCCAGAGATTTGGACACGGGTGAAGCTATTAATCAAGCTGTCACTGTTCAGCCAATCAGTGCTAATGTGGCCAGTTTAAATGTCCACCATATACAGAAACACATGGTCTGCTACAAGAGAGCTGCAGCCTAATGCTATGTTTGTTTACTTCTGAACAGATAAGAGATGACCATTGATTGAAATTTAAATTTTCAGTTATATACTTATGAGCATATTTACAAAAAGAAAATTGTCTTATTTCACAAAAACTAAAAAACATTTTAGAATTTGATTTGAAATTTATAGTCATGATAGTTTCACAAACCTCTGACACAAAAAAGAGCTTGGAACTCATGGTAACAATCTTGTTATAGTAGAAAGTTTGAATATTTTCTCATTTTGTTTGAACTGGACATTTAAACTGCCATATTTGGCTGTTGTGGGCTGTTCCATCTGCCTTTTATACCCGCTCTCAGCCTTTAAGCCTGAACTATTTTGCACGACGTACTGAACGGAAAGAACATGGAGCAAACATAGGAGCGTTTTAGTCTACTACAGATACCCATTTAGCTTAGACTTTCGTTTTTGAAAAGGGAAATTCGAAACGTCACGTTGTTATCAACGGGAATCCTTATACTCATTGAATTCTATGCTGGCATTTTGATTTCGATGTAATATATAATATAAGATGATGCATACCATGCATGTTTTAGCTCCAAATATCTTACGAAACGAGCTTGTTAAAAATATATATCAGAAAGCCAGCTATAAAACTATCGATGGCATATTACATGCTGCGCGGTGTGACTGTCAAGGTTGCGGTGCAGTCTTATCATAACACTGAAGCTGAATGGTTATTCAACGCATGCAATGTACAAGGCGTATCAAAAAAACGCAACAAGTAGTTATCTCGTAAAATCACAAAACTAGTGATGACTTCATCAATTTCATTCAATGTAACATAAAGCCACGTCTCTCCTCTTTGCAATGATATGTCATATATTCACACGGGCCATGGTTGGGTGAGAAATCCTTCCATTTGCACAGTGTCTCAAAATCGACTCTGGACCAAGTTTCAGAAATTGCAAAAATCAGTGCAAGGGCTAAGTGCCAATGGAAGTTCCCCTGACTTGAATTGTTGTGACATTTTCTTTTGGAGCTATCTCAGGAGCATCTGTGCTCACAATTCCTTCACCAGATATTGTAAAACCTCGAGAAAGAATTGCCCATGGGCTGCTTTTCTCTGCTTTAACCCACAGATGACTCAGGGCTGAACCATGCATGACGTGGACAGATGAGCGCATCTTTATGTGCAAGGAAGTGGTGGCAATTTGGAGGGGTATAGGATGTATTCTTGCAAGAGTATGAGTATGAACACTTTACTGTCTATGCCACACCTGTCACACCTTCTTCCAATACCCCCTATGCCCCTTGTACTGGCTTTTGCAACGTTTGAAACTTGAGTCCGAGCTGAATTTTGCCCCACTTTGCAAAATTAATGATTATTCGGCCAGCCATGACTCCCTGTGAATGAATGCTATTCCATTGCAAAGAGGAGTAATTTGGCTTTTTGGTACATTGAATGAAAAGGATGCTGTCAGCATTGGTTTTATGTTTTCTTCCAATATTGCATCGGGCTCCGTACACTGACTTTTGCGATGTTTATAACTAGGTCCCAAGCTAATTTTGGCCCACTTTGCAAATGGAATGATTACTCGCCAAACCATGACCAAATATCAATGAATGATATATCATTGTAAAGAGGAGACACATGGCTTTATGGTGCATTGAATGAAATGAATGCTGTTATCACTGGTTTTGTGCTTTTCCGAGATAACAATCTGTTGCGTTTTTTTATAAGCACTGTATATGGGCCATTGATAGGAAATACGTTTTCGTTTAGATTTCATATGTTAGCTTAGCCTCTCTTTTATCGTAAAAATCTTAAACCTGGAAAGTTTTAAAAAAGTGTATCTATGCATGTACCGTCCTATAATCATTTCATTCCTGTATATCGAGCCTGTTACGTTGCAGCTGAATGACAGTTATGATAAATTATAACTTTCATTCACTACCGGTAATTATTCATGTTTGCATACTTATCCACACCAGAATCAAATGTACAATTAATAGGAAAAACGAATGAAATAATTTGAAATCTACTTCTTTATTATCAATAAAATACATGTGCTTGCTAAGTACGCCATCACTAATTATGATTCAAAAGTAGAAAAATAAAGAAAATCCCAATCCGAGCTCATCTAACTTCTGATTATGCTGTTTATGAAACCCTATAACAAATTATTCAACATTAACATTATTTTATTTAGTCTGAAGCCGAGGCTCGAGAGAGCAGTAATAAACGATCATATAGTCACGTTTGTCTTTCCGTGATCTTGGGAAATCTTTTGAATACAATCTTGTTTTTTATTAAAACAATATGTTTTCTTTCAAGTGAAGTCCCCATGATGGTAAAATATCAATCCAACTCTCTGAAATTATGGATTAAGATCCCACCTTGGCACTTTTTTAAAATGTCAGGCTTATTTTCTGAAAAAACAAGTCTCTTCTATACTATATTAATGCAGAATTCTACAAAACACACTTCCTAACAATTTAGATGCATGGATGTGCGCGACCCGTTTAATGTAATCCAAACAACTTTGCCATCTTTCAATGACATTGATAAAAACTTGATATATAAAGCTTGACAGATCGAAGATATTTTTGATTAAATATTGTAAGCTTTGATGCGGTTCGTTTGAGCTGTTGTTGGTGTCAAATGAAAGATAAGGTTTTTATCAATACATTGGAAATTCTTTAAAATACAAGTAAAAATCTTTATTTTGCCCCAAAACATTGAAAATACGCAAGGTGGGCCTTTAAGAAAACATTTAAATACTTAAAAGTATGCTCTAAAAATGTGTACTGTTCTGAATGTGAAACAAGTTATCTTCCTGATATAAAAATGAAATGTCAGTGTTATCCTTTAAAACTCCCGAAAATGGGATCAATAAAATTATTATACTTTTTCGAATTGAAATTACTTTGACCTCGTTTCATATTCGTCATAAATGCCTATTCTGTTATTCCCTCCAGCTTAATTTTTTATTTTAATTTATGCAAATTGTTTCAAAAATATTAATTCTGCACATATTCAGATCACGATCATTTAGAGGTGAAATAAGTCCATGTATTACTATCACTATTACAGGAATTCATAATGCCTATTTGGTTCCCATTTCTTATATTCCTGGATTTTTCTGTTCGCCGTATGCATGTATTTGCAGCACAAGCAGCACGTAAGTCAACATTTTAATATTTTCATCCATCTTTAACTAGCTCATGCTTAACCGAACTGTATTTTGGTATATATCGAAGTGACTTCAGTTTAAATGAAATTTCCTATGGTATCTTTATTTTTGATTATGAGTGTTTCCAATTGCCTGAATCTCAGGGGTGGTAAATTTGTTCCTTCATGAGTTTGGTCATAGTTCGGGATAATTGAGCTTTTATATGACTTGTTCGGGATAATTGAGCTTTTATATGACTAGCCCTTTACTATATCCTATTCTATTGTAATAATACTTGTAATACTGTTGTCATTCCTTTTTTCACATTTTTTCTCACTGTCGTCAATTTAGTTTTGTCCTTAATATAACAAATAATGATATTTTTTGACTTCGATTTTCCATATTGTAGCATGTACTACCACCTCGACAATCCGTGAGTTCATAGCTGATGATGCCGACCCATGTTTCTACTTTGAATGTATTTACGCCGGGCTCACCACTGGCATTCGTCGTTCCTGCGCTCCAGGCTCAGGTGTACCGAGGGGATTCAAATCAACTGAAAACCCTTGTCGATTATTTAACCCAAACTGCAGGTTATCCACTGAAAATACACAGAGTTCTCTTCTCATGCCTCCTGGAGTCATACAAGGCACAGGAACCTCAAATACATTTCAACAATCCGCGTCGAACACTTGGCAGCAGGGTTCTCCGCCTCAGGGAAGTTGGCAACCGGCTCAACCGACTATGCAATGGAGGATGGTACCCTCCCCACCTGCGTGGGTCCAAAATCCAGGTAAACGAGGGTTTGGCAAATTAGTGTTGTTTTACCTTCAAGACGCTCTCCCGCCACCCCCCCCCCACTATGCATTTCCCACAAATGGAATATGTCGCACCCGTGTAGTCAAGTAGTGGGATTGGGGGTCACAGGGGCATGTGGCTGAACATTAACCACTTAACAAGAATTTGAGATTATCCCCACTAGTGCATTTTAGCTAAGTCTGTTGTACTTTGATGCTGGACTTTGATGATTTAGGTCCCCCAGCCTGTACACCGAGAACTATACATACGCGATGGCCGGTTCCTGTTCCGGTCCCTGTTCCATGCGGTGATACAACGGTACAACCTGATACCACAACTACGTCATCAACCTTCCCTCCAGGCACAACCCCCGGGACTCCACCAGGTACGGTCATTAAAATTCTATGTAGGACATAACTTTATTAAATGTATTTTTGTTTTGGAATTGAATAACTTTAAATAATTTTCACAAGACAAAATCGTATGAAATACTTTGCAATAAACTAGTTATTAAGCTTGTTATTATGGTCTTACTAGTGGTTATTATTGAGTAATGGTACAGGTATTCGATATGGTATTGCAGCTTACACTTAAGTAATGGTACACGTATCCTTTGAATTTAGGCCCGAATACCGAGGTTTATTTTTTTAATTATCGTGTATTATTGTTTTGTGTTAATATTAGTTAACCATATAACTATTAGCATGATATGATAACCTTGTTATATTAATATAGCGCATAGGCGTAGCCAGGGGGATGCGATGTGTGCGATCGCACCCCCCCCCCTCCATAACCAATGAAAATAGAACCATTAGATAGAAGAAAAAAGTCTTAAAATGCTTTTTATTTGAAGCTTCTAGCTCGATTTTGAACGAAGATGCACCAATTTTTGTAAAATTCAAAACAAATCTTCAAAAACATTTTTTTATGCCACGATCGCACCCCCCCCCCCTCCCCCCGACTGAAAGCTGGCTACGCCACTGTAACGTGTAATCAATACGCTACATTTTGTATGTTCAATTTGTATACTAAAAACTATTATTAATCCACAAATTTAGATGAAGACAAGATAAAAATTCGAATCAAGAATGAAAAGGTGTCTAAGTATACAGGGTGTCAAATAAGTCCCGTCCCCCCCTCTACAGCCAAAACCAAGATATTTGGTACCAAGTGTGATATATCATTGGAAAGGTCTTCCAAAGTTACGTTGATTGGCATATATCTGACACATGTCAATCAATCTCAGAAATTTTTACATTGTATCAATTGAGGTGACCATATGCCTAGAAACATGGCAATTTGGCGATTTTAAGAATCATGTATAAGAAAGGCCATGGGACCAAAATATGACTAAATATGTTTATGGCAATGAATTTAACCTATTTCTGGATAGGGTTAGATGTGAAGAAAATAGAGTTGCAAGGAAAGTGATGAAAACCTTTTTGTAACAAGTGGAATGTGAAAAAGATTAACTTTTTGATGTATTTCTGAGGTCATATCCTTGTCATTTTGATGCAAAAAAGCTACTTAAAGGAGGGCACATTAATTTTAAAAGACATCATAAAAATATAGGTAAATTTCATCCAAAATACTTTAGAGTTGGTGAGTTAACATAACTTTGGATGATCTTTCCAATGGTATATCACACTAGGTACCTTCTGTTAAGGTTTTGGCTGTAGCAGGGGGGACGGGACTTATTTGACACCCTGTATAAATCTTAAGGGTTATGCATATTCGAATTAAACAGAGGCGGGTTAATTTATATTGTGCTATGAATTACGCTATTATTCAAAATTGCAGCTAAGATGCCTGTTTTATGATACCCTGCGTGCAGAGTCTAGTTAAACTACACTAAGACGAAGCTCTCTTTTAAGAAGTGAAGTCAAACGAATGCAAAGGGTAGTTTTGTGAAAAATATCACGGAAGATGTATTCTAGATATCAGTAGTATTCTCAGAAATTTATTATCCGAAACGGATAACATCTGGCCACTCAGACAAACAATCGCAGACATAGGCTAAGCTTGTTTATTTAACAGTTAGATTTGTTGACTTACCAATCCGTATTTCAATCTCCGGGAAGACGTTCTTTTCACTTTGTATTTGCGTGCAGTGTAATATAAGTTGATACTTTTGTTCAAAAATGTACTTTTAATGGCCATTTCATGTATTTTATTTTCAAATTATGTTTTGTTTTGATGTCAGTGTGAAAAGTCAAGAAACGCCAACCCCGACTTTTAATTAAAAAATGTTGGTTAATCACTTATGGCAAATCACAAGGTTGATGATGTCAACGGACCATGATCGTGGAAGGCTATCAATATCAGGTGTATATCGCATAGAAAATAGATATAGCTAATTTTTCGCACTGATATGATGATGACTATTCTGGCGAATCGGGTAGATATTTCTCAGTTTTTTCCGATAATAAAACTATTCATTACTATCAATTTTACAAACGGGGTCCTTTGAATGCACATTGAAACTATAAAAGTATTTATTGGGCGTACATACTCGTTCTGTCATGTTACTTGCATTTCATTTGCAAGTTGTCCACATATTAATCCGGCGTTTTGTTTAATCAAATTTCCCGCCCCTTGAGGTTTCCGACTGTAAAACTTAATATTTAATACTAACCAATGCATCAGTTAATATTTTCAGAATACAAATTTTCCATTTTTATTTCTCTGATAGATAAAGTCTCATTTTTAATCTGTTCGTGTATCAAAGAGTATGCTTTTATAATGCCGTGGTCACATTTGCTCAGATTTTCAGCACCGGCGCCCGGCCGATGAGTATTTTGTGCAAAATTGTATTCAATTCTGAACAAAATACTCAATCGGCCGGGCGCCTTAATGAAAATCGGAGCAAATGTTACCAAGTCATAACTGATGAAAAATCAAATGAGAATATGAACATGGATAATAGGGGCATTATTACGCTGCGTGCAGAGCCTAATTATAAACTACGAGAAGACGAAACTCTCATTTAAGAAGTGAAGTCGAACAAATGCAAAGGGTAGGGTACTATAGAAGGGGATCATATATCTTCAACTGTTGCCCTTTGTGCATTTCAAAAATAAAATATCTTAATCTGATTTGTTCCACCTTTCTTTTCGCTCAGTTCTGCAATATTATGTCCATATGTTGTTTAGGATTATGTCATTTGCGAAATAGCTGTAAGACATTATGAGAATGAATATGGGAATTTCCACGATAATGTTGTTCACATGATTTTATACACATACCTGCATAATAATCGGAGACAGAAGTCTTAATATTGTCCAATAAAAAATAAGAATCTAACATTTAATGATAACAAAAGGATTAATTGCTTAGTTCTCTTTGTTTTAGTCTTTGTTTTCTTAAATGCGGAAGTGTACCAACATCACCTAGATTACATAAGAGATCATCTAACAGTCTAAAATTGCTTTTAATTGCAAGTTAATGCATTCCGACCAAAATTTGTATACCTGTAATTTGGGGGGGGGGGGGCGATGTTACATCACATAACTACAACGTTCATATAGAAATATAAAATAAGCATGTCCGTATAAAAGCTAAAATTATAAAAACTCATTTCAAAGTCATTCTGTTCATGGAAGCGTCAAGTTATGAAAAACAATGCTAAACACTCAAACAAATCGACTTGATTACCTTTGAAAACTTCTTGAGAGGAAATGGACAAATGTATTTTTCTAACTCATTAGAACGTCTGTCTGATTGAAATACTATTTTTTAATACAAACATAAATGATTTAATCTTGGTCAGAAGTCTGAACATTGTCCAACAAAATTATAAGAATCTAACATGTAATGATTACAAAGGGATTAATTGCTATATAGTCTTTGTCTTACTTTTGTTTTTCTAACGGCGGAAGTGTACCAACATCACCCTGATTACAGAAGAGATCATCTAACAGTCTAAAATTGCTTTTAATTCCCGGGTTTTAATTACATTTTATGTATATACTTTTTTGCCTCTATTCTCATTTTTAAACCTGTTTATGTTTGCTTATTTAACAATTGTGATAAATTATTCAGTTAGTGTCGAAATCAAAACAATTTTCTACATTATAGTCCCCTCCTCTTGCACTGACTAAATATTAAAATAAGCCAGTCTGATTGCGAATTTACAAATCCTGTAAAAGTAGCTCCAAACCGCCTTTTAATCAGAGAAAACAATAAGTTAATTCATCTGATTACGAAAATACGAATCAACCTGATTATCTGATCTCCATGCTATTTGATTCGTGCATTATCTACAAGTCAATCGGGCAAGGGTGAAATTATTTCATTTGAAAACAGAAATAAATATAAGGACCCATCTAGCATAACTATTCGGAAGAAATTCATACAAAAAATAAGGTACACAACTGATGAAGGGTCGCACACAATGCACGCACCCCTCTCCTCCTCCTCCGTGTTTGCCCACACACGACCATATTTGACAATTTTTCTATAAGCGTTTTCCCCGGGAATATAGGTGTAGCAGTTGCCAGAAGTCGCACAGCTTGGGAGTCAGGGTATCCTGATCCATGCTTCAACACTCGACGGGTCTGATATTTAGAGGGGGCGCAAGAATTATTAGGGGGCGGGGTAAACGTGAAAGTTGCCAAAATATCCATAGGCGTAGCCAGGAGTGGGGGGGGGGTGCGATGGGTGCGATAACAATAGGCTTTATATATGCTTTAATGTTTTATTTATCATGATGCTTTTATGTAGGCTATTAATTACAGTTCTTTTTGCAATATAAAACTGGTATGTTTATGCAAATTCCGATCGGATTTGTTTAAATCCCCTCACCTTGTCAATGTCTATGCCTGCATCTGGTTTTCCCACCTTTGGGAGGAAGCCAATATACACATAGATTACTTACTGGCCATGGACAGGGGGGGGGGCACAGAAACGAACATTCTGGGGTCATAAGGGATACTTGGGGAAGGGGGAGGGGTGGTGGTGAATAGTGAAGTCCGGGAGTGAAGTTAAGGGGTACTGAAATCTTTCTTTTGATATTTAGTGCTTGAATGGAGACTTGTTTCCACTCCCCGCATGCTAGTAGAATTTAAATATTTGATCCAAAGGAGTTATTTTAAATCAAACTTGCATTCCGATTAATTAACACTCCAATGATTTTACCGCTTCACTATTGTCTAAGATAATTATAATGAATTCACGGGACACTATAGTCTTCCTTTTAAACTTTAGTGGTTGGATGGAGACTTGTTTCCCCACCCCGTACACTAGTAAATTTGTAAATTTTAAATATTTGATTTAGGGAGGTATTTGCAATCCAACTCTGATGATGCAAGACTAGTCAGCCAAGACTAAATTATGAACTTATTATAATTTAGACTATTGAGTTCATTAAATTAACAGGATCTTAAGAGGTTCTGGACAAATCATTTGATTCTGGACTT